CTGTCACTGGCGTCTGAGTAAACAATCCTCTTAACCAAGCTCGTCTCAATAAGAGATCTAGACTGGGCAACACTTCCAGGAGATAAAGAGATCTTATTCTCCCAAGGCCACGTTTTGGCTACATCGATGCTCAACGACCTAGTCATTAGCTGAGCTACTGGTCCGATAGCTGGTTTCATAGATACTACCTGACCCACCACACTCGCAACAGATCTCACAGCAATACGTTTAGGATGTAGCCTTAATATATGCAAGATAGTTTGTTTCAACTTATCTATCTTTCTCTGAGGAATGCTCATAGTTAACACGTAGTGTCGAGTCCAAACCTTAACCATTCAATGGATTGAGATGGATGCCAGAGTGACTTCTCTACTTTGGGGACAAACCCTGAAGATACGAGATCGGTTTTAATGACTGCACCTTGTGATAAAGCTAAATACTCTGAAGCACCGGACTTAATTCCATCGTCCAAAAACGTAACAATTTTGTGTCCATCAGCACGCCACTTCTTCACTAGCTGACGTGTAACCTTAGTGAATACGTAAGGAGCTGAAGTCAGACCAAACGGTAAAACTAAGAATTTGTAATAGCATATATCACCACCAGTATTACGCTATGCAAATCCAAGATAATCAGCATGAGGGTAGAATATATCGATGTGGTGGTATGCAGAATGTATGTCAAATTTGATTAACCAATCACCCTTGTTCACATATGTTAAGAATGTGGTCCAATCCTCGTACTTCACGCTAGACTTGTAAACAAACTTGTTAACCCTGGAGAGATCAAGGATCAATCGTTTCTTCCCTGAAGACTGTTTGGACACAGACAGTGGACTGACTACTCTGGGGACCGTAACACACTTGCTGATGAGATGTTTCTTGAGAAGCTCGTCAATAGCCGTCGTAACAAAAGTAGAATGCGTAAGGGCTGATTTATTGTTTTCCTTGCTCAAATTCAAAGTAATCGTCCGTTAAGTTAGAATCAACAGAATACTTAACTGCCAAGTCCTTTTCTACTGCTTTACTGGGTTGTGGTTGAACTCCCAATTCCACCTGCCGACGTGGCTCCAGCTCCGCTGGCGGTGTATGGACAGTCTCTTCTAAAGTGTGTAAATTCTCCACACGCAAAACATGCTCCGCTTCTCTGGCTTCTGCCACGAAAAAGATGTGAGGACGTGGACTGGACAGGATGCACAGAAGAAGCAGAATGAGCACTTGAAGCAGGCTGCACGGGCTGGAGAAACGTAGATGATCTCCATAAAGCCCTATTGGCCGAATAAGGAGCTTGCCTAGCACGCTTTTGTCTGAGTTTCTTGACAGCTTTATTGTCTGCTCGCATGATTTTCTTATCATCGTCAGAATCGTCTGCCAACTCATTGCTGACGTACTGCCGGACGGTTTCCACCCCCCGTCTGAAGAATCCACTATCTTAATAAGTTTATTTCTTCTCGTCAACCTGTCGAGCTCTTCAGACAGTAACATCTCAGCGTCTTCCAAACGTGAAGTACTCAACGCAGTGAGCACCTTTTTAAGAGATGTAATGGATTCTTCGTTAAAGTTATACTGAATTTTATCACCCTCACGAGACCAGACATAGTCTTTTTCAGCTTTCAGCTTCTTAAGATCAAGTGTAGTTTTAGCAATACTCCAGCAATACCAGGGCGGGGGACAGCAGAAATGGGCGTGACGAGCGAACGGTTTAACCACTAGGCTACCTCAACGTCCCTCAAAAAGAAAAGTGCAGTGTATAGCTGATATGAGTGTTGAATGTAATTCGCTTTCCTAAATCAACAGTCAAATAGGTGTGTTAATGGCTGTAATTTGATATACATTCTTAATCAAATAGGACTAGGGGCGGTGGGATAGCCTAGTGGTTTAAGCATCTAAGCAGTATTGGCAATACTACTACGTAATATCACCAGACAATGGACTTCATACATTGCGTCCTTAAGGGAATCGAACCCGGACCTTCACCGTAAAGAAGGATCGCTTTAACCACCCCTTGTCCATACGGGTATATTCATATAATACTATGACAGTTTGAAATATGAATATGGTAACTAGCAGTCAGCATGGTGGTATGAAAGTATGCAATATCAAATCACACATACCGTAATAGTTAAATATATTTACCCCGTCAAAGTGATTTCTATTTCAGACTGTCTGAATGTGCATGTTTATACGATCCGGAATAATATATTCATCGATATTGATTTAAGTTCGTCGAAAAAGTGTTTTTCCCAAAATGACAAAATGTAAAACTTACTCCCAAATTACCATCAGCTATCAAGCCGAAATATATGATGAACATATTTGGTATTTTCCCGATAGTATAAAACTGTTATTTAAATGAGAACATTCGCGATAATAGCACAACCATGTATTTAGCCGTTGAGTGTGTTATAGTAATCATACTAAACGCTTACTTTAATGCTGACTGAACCCTAAATAAGTACTATGAATAACAACGTACATATATGTGTATAAAATATCATCAACAATGTGTACATACATCATACAAGTCAGCTGTTGAAATATCTTCGTACAACATGTAGCGTTCCCTAATATAGCAGGTATTATTACTATAGGTAGCAGTGATAACATCATGTTTATTAATGTCTCATACATTATTACATTTCATGAACACTACTTCATATCATTTACATTTACATTGGAAAGGAGGTGTTACAGGTGAGTAATATCTCAACACTCACCATTCACTTAGAAGTGCATACCTTATGGCTGACCCCAGGATTCAGATTATGCAGACGCGTTGACTTCGCACAACGTATGATCCTGAAACATACTGAAAGGCGCTCAGGTGTATGCTGGTGTAGAGAAGTATTTCAGTGACTAAGTTGTAACATAACCCCTGAACCACTTTTACTTTTCTCTAATAGCTTCTCCTGTAACAATGAAAGCTCCATGTACTTTGACACGCATCCATGTTGCATTCGAGTGTTTCGTACGTCCCGAGTAACATAATCTATGTTGTGGCAAGAAACACATTAGTCTGGTACACTCTCACCAAAGTTTATTTCCGTTTTCGTTATGTCTATCGTTGTTGTAGCGTTGCATTAAGTACATACGTTGTATCGTTGTATACAAAACAGTTGAGAGGTTCAGAGAAACTATAAAGGAGAAACAAAAGACTTGTTTATTATACAATCCAAACCTGAACCTAATAAAGTGTACAAATATTCAAAATCCATTTTTTCTACATAAGCAATTACAATTGTAATTGAATCAAATATGTTTTCTCTTAACTCGTTTTGGACATAGAAGCAACATAAATTCAAGAAATAACTCACATCTGTGTTCTGCCATAACTCAATGTGTGATGCTGTCAACGTGGAGGCCTTCTGTCTGACTGAGCCCATGTGCTTCTGTTCATGTGATCAGATTTGAACTGCACCTCACCACTGGATTGTAAACCCATAAAGATAATAATCTATTTAAAAGTCAGAAGATTTTCATCCTTGTTAATTCATTGTACATCTAGGAATCCCAAATCTCAGACCAGTTCCCAATCTAGGAATAGTGCGAGATTAATGTATCAAACATGTTATATGAGTGATAATGGGGATAGTTATAACCCACAAATGCGGTCTCTGAGATGAAAATAACTTCAGTCCACCGTGAAAATTTCCCGCAACACTGCAGCTGACATTGCAGTCTCCAGCAAATGAGGTGAGGTGAAATTGGGTTTAACGTCGTGCTTGAGAATATTTCGCTCATATGACGACGTGCGTGCGTGTGTGTGTATGTGTATGTGCGGCTGCTTGTACTAGCCCAGACTTATGCTGGTTTTATAGTGCTAGCCCACTGAGATACCACGCCGCAGTGAAGCATGAATACCCCACTCAGACACATTATACTGACTCCGAGCCGACCAGTCCTTGTTGTACCTATTAATACCGAGCGCCAGGCAGGGACCAACAAGTACCATATTTTAACGTCTTTTGGTATGACGCGGTCGGGGATCGAACCCGCGACCTTCCGCTCTCCGGGCGGACGCTCTAACCACTACACCACGAAGGCTGACTCCAGCAAATGAGTGAGTGGGTTTAGTTTTACGCCGCTTTTAGCATTAGTCCAGCAATATCACGGCGGGGGACACAAGTAATGGGCTTCACACATTGTGCACATGTGGGAAATCGAACCCGGGTCTTCGGGCTACCATCGTATCATACCAGGTACCCAATTTACTGCTGGGTGGACAGAGCCAATTTTCAACAAACTCACTTGCCTAGACTGAGACCACACGTATCACATGTGCTTCGTTGTGGGGCAGGACTGAAGTCCCGGAAACTCTCTACCGCCTCCAGTCCGACATCATGACAAACCACCCCCCAACCCCCATTTATTAAAAGTTATATACCCAGTTGAATGAATTGGTCTCAAAATTCCGAACTGGTTATTGTACTAAGCTGCGCAATAGGATGGAACCCAGTCAGCAGGAAAACGAGACTGTTGTGTAGTCAATGTTTTGACTTGGTCCCCCGTATTATCGTACAGTACGACTTAACCCTGATGTTACATGCGTTCGATATAAATACGAAGGACTATCAAAACGTTTTGAGCCTAAAATACTTCTGGTATATGCATGATACAAATAACTGTATGATACTGGAGCTTGGTTTATATCATCCATATAAACGTAATATTGACATGCATACATCTAACCACATGTACCCCTATCGGAACGGCAGAAATGGATAAGCTTCAGTACAGAGCAGTCATATAGTATTTAGTCCTCGAGGGCCACCCGGCGAAGGACATTAAAGAGCGATTGACAGCATTATGAGTACCCCATGGGACTCAGTACTAAGCTTAACGTTTATGAGAATGGTATAAACCATTCTTTAATATCATACAGGTTTGTTTCATGCACATATAGTCTATCGTTCAGAGTATACTTCATACACTATGGTTTTGTTTACCGTTCATATAGAGTTCTTAAGATTATCAAACGTGTTTTGTTTCTTTTTCAGTGCATTGTCACTGTAAATGGAAAAACTTGACACAAAGCGGATCTGTCTTCTTTCTAATTGGTTCATCCGCAATATGGCCGTACTGGTTGGAGCACTCGTTATTAAAATTGGGAGCCAGAAACAGAGCGGAACAGGATCGGAATGGAAGTTATCACTGGATAAGGTATTTAGACATATTAACCATAAAAAAAACAATTATCAGCTCCTGTATTGCACATAGATTAAAAGCTACTTCAGATGAACTTATTCACTGTAATCAAACTGGTTTTATACCAGGTAGGACTATTAGCGAAAATACAAGACTGCTATATGACATTATGTTTGAAACAAAACAACAAAACATTCCTGGTTTTCTAATTCTGATTCATTTTGAAAAAGCATTTGACACTGTTTCTAAAGATTTTATCAACCCACTTTTACATAAATTTGAATTTGGTCCTGAAGTGATAAGGCGGATAATATATTGACTTTTGAAACAACATCTTGTGTTATCCAGCATGGTAATCTCTCTGAATTTTTTGCTAATGAACGAGGATGTAGACAGGGAGACCCACTTTCCCGTTACATTTTTCTTTTCGTAGCTGAGATTCTTCTTTGTATGATAAGAAACAATGAAAACATTAAATGTATTGTTGTCCATGATGATAAGTATAAGCTGGATCAATACGCTGGTGATACTAAACTATTTCTTGATGGAACCGAGGATAGTTTATATCTTGCTATTGACACAATTAATGCATTTTATAAAATGTCAGGTCTGAAAAGCAATTTAGAAGTGAGGTGAGGTGAGGTGAGGTGAAATTGGGTTTAACGTCGTGCTTGAGAATATTTTGCTCATATGACGACGTGCATGCGTGTGTATGTGTATGTGCGGCTGCTTGTACTAGCCCAGACTGAAGCTGGTTTTATAGTGCTAGCCCACTGAGATACCATGCCGCAGTGAAGCAGTGAATACCCCACTCAGACACATGATACTGACTCCGAGCCGACCAGTCCTTGTTGTACCCATTAATGCCGAGCGCCAGGCAGGGACCAACAAGTACCATATTTTAACATCTTTTGGTATGACGCGGTAGGGGATCGAACCCGAGACCGTCCACTCTCTGGGCGGACGCTCTAACCACTACACCACTGAGGCGGTCAATCAATTTAGACTGGATTGGATCAAAAGCTAAATCTACTAATAAAATATGTAATGACCTGAAAATTGAATGGGTGGCTGGTGAATTTGATGTACTAGGTATTAAATTTACGCCAGATCTGGAACAACTATGGGTAATCAACACCAGAAAGAGACTGGAAGAAATTAATAGACTCTTAGCATCTTGGAGAAAAAGACATTTAACACTTTCAGTGTGTGGAACAGAATAGCAATCCCAACGACTCCTTTGCCTGGATGAAGTCGGCTGGTCTTAAATGTGAAACTGAGGGCTTCTTTTTTGCTGCTCGGGACCAGTCACTTCCCACTCGTAATCGCCAAAATGTGATTCTTAAAGAAAATATCAATATGAAATGTCTATTATGTAATGAATTTACAGAGACTGTCCAACACCTTGTCAGTGGATGCCCTTCTTTGGCACAAACAGCATATCTTAAACGACATGATGGCATGGCTCGTTGCTTTTACTACCGTCTCCGCCATGTCTGTGGCTTTGACTCCGAGGTCCATCCATGGTATGACCCTGAACATGTCCAGGGCCTCATGGAAAATGATGCTTTCAAAGTTCTGTGGAATAGGCCCATATACAGCCTCAGAAAAAATCCCCATTGTTCACGGTGCCCTTGGTTTGGTACCACATGATATCTTGGCGCAGATCAAGAGAGTGCCCGGGTTCTCCATCGGGAGCACAGTCCTTCTGACACTCTGGGTCTCCGGAAAGTTCTTGGTGGGTTCGACTAGGCAGTGTTACCTGGGAGAAGTCCCATTCGCTGTTTGGGCTGCGTGTAGAGTGGGCGAGGGCCCTGAGCAGATGATGAGCCTCACCAGCCTGACTGTGCCAGGATCACCCGAACCCTCTGTGCTGCATTTTCATCTTTAATCTGTAAAGCAATAATGAAAAATAATAATAATGTAAGGGCCTGATGATGTACGCCTCTTCGTGGTGGACCTAGAATAAACGTACATCACCCAGTTAGGGCTGAGACCCCGAAGCTGGTTTTCTTACTGGGTTACAATTAGGCAAGAAGAAATCAATCTTTCAGTCAGCCTTCTTCCGGTTGTCAAACCAACCACACTGGAGATGGGACTTGCCCCAGGGGAAGGCACAGAACACAATCAAGAATATCTTGGTCAAACCATCTAAAAACCACACTACTTAAGTGTGCATAAGTAGAGTGCTCAAGTGGCAGCAGACCCAAAACTTCTGATGGACGTCCGTGTCAACCTCTCTCCTCTTCCTGATTCTTGTGGCATAGAGCCAATTGGCCCCGAATTTTCTTCTTGTTCATCTACTGCAGATCTTTCTGAGAACCCTGTTTACATTTTGTTCAGTTCTATTTATCAGAAAATTTGTGATTTACCTTGAGAGAAACGGAGGCCAACTAAACAACTAAATGTGTATTTTCCCCAAAATGAAATTGCTTTACTAAATGAGGCGATTTCCCTAAAATTTTCTGCGGACTGTTCGTTATATGAAGTGAATTGTTGTGTCTATGCTGCCGCTCGAACTATGGAGGAACTTCACACAGTTTCAAAAGAAAATCCATCTGATGAAAACAACAAAAGACCAAGGAAAAACCGTTTCTTGTAAAACTTAATGAAACAAGAAGAAATATTTCCTGGATTGAGCTGTGCCTTGAAATAAGATCATCAGGGGAATCCCATGTCTAAAAGGCAAAAGGCAATTTGGAAGAAATTAAAATTACAATACAAGACAACGAAAGAAAAGGTTCTTCTCCAGATTGTCGATTCGCTTAAGGCAAAATTAAAGGTTTGGACTGAAAGAAAGAAAAAATGGGAAAAGAAGAACAAGTTTATCAAACAAAATAAACTTTTTAGAAATAATGAAAAACACTTCTACAGGCAACTTAAAACAAATGGTGATGGTGAGCATGATAAACGGCCTCCCATGGATGCCAATGAAAGGTTCTGGAAACAGTTGTGGTCTGTGCCCGGCGACTATAACCTTGAGGCACCATGGGTCAATGATTATGACCATGCAATGCATGACAAAGTAACTAGGTCGTTTGTCTGTTACATCTCACCAGATTGCCTGAAAAGTGGCATCAAAAAGTCCAAATCTAATATAGCTCCAGGCCTGATATGCATTCGAAACCGGTACTGGAAACTATTCCCCTGTGTCCAAACACCATTACTCCACTGTTTCAATTCTCTCGTGGACACAGGTGATGTTCCTCCATGGTTCTGCAAAGGTCGCACAATACTCCTTCATAAAAATGGAGACTTGACTGATCCCAAAAACTTCCGCCCTATCACATGTTTGAATACACAATACAAATTATTCACAGTTTGACCAACCTCGTGTCATCATACTGCTTTGCTAATGATATAATTTATAGAGAGCAGAAGGGAGCAAGAAAGGGATGTTGGGGGTGCAAGGACCAACTTATTGTACAGAAAATGATTTTGGAAGAGGCCTAAACTTATCACCGCAACCTCTCCATGTGCTGGATCGACTACAAAAGAGCATACCAATATGAAAGACCAGGTTCTCCTTGTCGAGTCCTTGTCTACTGATATTGGCATGACATTTGGACTCGACAAGTGGAATACTCTTCATTTGAAACGTCGCAAGGTGGTTACTGGTGGATCGGTAAGGTTACAGGGGGGAGGAGTTATTGAGCATCTTGTGGAAGATCAGGCCTACACCTATCTTGGAATGGAAGTTCGAGACAAGCTCCAGAGTGGCCAAATTCAAGACAAACTTCGGGCCTAGTACAAATCTCGCTTAAAGAAAATCTGGAGCTCAGAGCCACCAATACTTTTGCTGTACCAGTCCTTTCCTATTCCTTTGGAGTAGTTGATTGGACAAAACAAGCCATCCAGAGTCTTGACCGCCTGACCAGAAGGATCATGTCTGATAACAGAGCCCACCACCACCCTCGTTCCTCTCGTAACCGTTTATATATGCCAATCAATTCTGGAGGTCGGGGTTTGATTAATGTGGAGGCTCTTCATGATAGAATTTTACTTTTGCACATATTTATTTATCGGATAATCCTCTGGTAATGTATGTCAAGACTCATGACGAAAGCAAGGAATTCCACAGCTATTTAAGCGTGCCAAGGTTGTTTGACAGAATCTGACATTTGATGATGATTTTGCTGATGGCGTTGTACTGCTGGACGGTACAGCAATGGGAATAAACCAGGTGAAGTTATTCACCAAGTCTGCCCAGAGTCGGTCTTTTGTGGAGAGGTCTTCTGAGAAGCCAGTGCATCGTGTGTACATACAGTGTGTGGAACAGAATAGCAATCCCAACGACTCCTTCGCCTTGGTGAAGTCGGCTGGTCTTAAATGTGAAACTGAAGGCTTCCTTTTCGCTGCTCAGGACCAGTCACTTCCCACTCGTAATCGCCAAAATGTGATTCTTAAAGAAAATATCAATATGAAATGTTGACTATATAATGAATTTACAGAGACCGTCCAACACCTTGTCAGTGGATGTCCTTCCTTTGCACAACATCATATCTGAAAAGACATGATGGCATGGCTCGTTGCCTTTTACTATCGCCTCCGCCATGTCTGTGGCTTTGACTCCGAGGTCCATCCATGGTATGACCCTGAACATGTCCAGGGCCTCATGGAAAATGATGCTTTTACACTTTTGTGGAATAGGCCTATATACAGCCTCAGGAGAATTCAAGCCAACAAACCTGATCTTGTCCTTTTTGATAAAGCCAATGAATTTATTGATATCATTGAATTTTCTGTCCCTTTTGACAGCAACGTGATTGGAAAGATTCAGGAAAAGCATGATAAATGTGCGGACCTCGCCTTTATAATGTCTCGCTTGCATCCCAAGTACACTGTCGTCAGGCTCCCCATTGTTCTCGGTGCCCTTGGTTTGGTACCTCCTGATCTCTTGGTGCAGGAGAGTGCCCGGGTTCTCCATCGGGAGCACAGCCCTTCTGACACTCTGGGTAATGCAGAAAGCAGCAGTGTTGGGGAGTCTACATATTCTCCGGAAAGTTCTTGGTTGGGTTCAACTAGGCAGTGTTTCCTGGGAGAAGTCCCATTCGCTGTTTGGGCTGCGTGTAGATGGGGCAAGGGCCCTGAGCAGATGATGAGCCTCACCAGCCTGACTGTGCCAGGATCACCCGAACCCTCTGTGCTGCATTTTCATCATTAATCTTTAAAACATAATAATAAATGGATATTTCTTGTGCGCCATAGTCCAGAGCATGCTCAAAGCGCTACATATATAAAAGAGTCACTAGAGTTCATGAGGAAGATATGACAGTTCGTCAAAATGACCATGAGAATATTTCGCAGTTATAGGTTGTAGACTTTTTTGAAGAGGAAGGTTTTGAGTCCCGATTTGAATGCTTCTAAGGATCAAGGATTTTTGATGGGAGTAGGAAGACCGTTCCACAGGATTGGTGCTGCATATTTGAATGACCTATGGTCAAAGTGTTTGAGATGAATTTGGGGAACTGAGAGAAGATCTTGATTCTGGGAGCGGAGAGAACGGGCAGGCATATATGTTGACAACACCTCAGAGCGGTATGGAGGAGCTAGGCCGTGTCTGCAGCGGAAAACAAGAGTGAGGATCTTGAACTGAATTCTGGCTTCAACCGGCAGCCATTGCATGTTGGATGTTTTAGTGACAACTCTGGCGGCGGCATTTTGAAGTTTTTGAAGTCTGAAGAGAAGATCATTGGAGATTCCAAACAGTAGGCTATTGCAATAGTCAATCCTGGAGAGAACAAGTGACTGTGTAAGAACTTTAGCTATATCTGTGGTTACAAGATGGTGGATGTTACCAATAGAGTGGTGATGGAAGTAGCCTACTCTACAGAGATGGTTCACATGTTGCTCCATGGTGAGACAAGGATCAAGATAAACACCTAGGTTCTTTATACTGGATGAAAGTGGGAGATATGAGTTGGCTACTGTGATGTCCGTCGAGTTTATCCTTTTCAGACGTTAGGGTGTGCCAATCAACATAGCCTCAGTCTAAAATCCTAGCAATCTCCAAACCAGTTCATATTTTCAATTCCTTGCCCAAGCTACCAGCAGAATTTATTACTTCGCTTGTAAAACTATTTTTTAAATTCATTTGGAACGATAAAAATGATAAAATAAAGAGAAGTGTAATAAAAAATAGATATGAAGAAGGAGAATTGAGAATGATTGATACAAATAGATTTATTGATGCTTTGAATTTATCCACTTTAAGACTTTATTTTAAAAAACAGTGAAAACAAAATCCATGCAATATACCTTGGATTAATCTTATATAGATTACTATCAATAGAATCTTTAAAAGAAAGTTTTAGGTATTTACTGAACATATTACCTGAATCATGGACACATACTTTAAAGCACTGCCATTCTATCCTAGTCAGGAATTTGAATATTAAACAATGCCAGATACATTTAGTGAAAGCATTACAAGGCTGCAGGATTTTGTATGATACACTTATTTGCAATGATAAATACCCAAACATTTGTGATAAATGGCAGCTTTTATTTCCTGAAACTGACTTTGATTGGAAAAATGTATTTACAGTATATAGACAGGGATTACAAGATACAAAGCTTATAGACTTTCAATATAGATTTCTACAAGGTATTATTTATACAAAAAGGAATTGGTCAAAATGAAAAAAGTTGATAACAGTTTGTGTTGTTTTTGAAATAATGTAAATGAGAGTGTGTGTCATGTATACTGGGGATGCCAGGAGACACAGACCTTCTGGATAAACCTACAAACTTGGCTTAACAACCTTTTTCCTCAACCAAATCAAACTTACTTACAATAGTTCAAAGACTTGCATTCTCACATCACCATTCTCACATCACCAAACACACCCACACTCTTTCCCCTACACACACAAGCACCTACATCATACCTCACCATTCACATATACTCACATACATTCACATCACAACTCACATTAACCCTCAAAATATCACAACACTACAAATGACTTTTTAAAGAAACAAACAATTCATATCATTACATTATATACATGAACGATGGAAGAATTAAACAAATTCATTGAAAGCACAAATCAATAATTATTGTATACTGTACAAATCACTGTCGATGTTGTTATCACCACATGTGGGATTTTCAGACAGTTCAGTTCTGTAGTGGTAGGTTAGGGGTCCTTCCCCTGCATGTAAATCTTTACACACTTCGGCGGCATGTCACTCTGATCCCTGCTGATCAGACGGTACAGCCTTACTGGCGGGGCACGTCACTCTCCCCAGACACACAGATGTCAGTTCACATCACAGGCGGCATTGTCAGGATCGATCCATCACGATCGGCGGGACAGCCTTACGGGGTGTAACACCTACCCCGGACACTGGATACAAAAGGTACACCATGTACTTGGTGACTTTACACATACACGATATATACATTTCACACACACATGATGTGTTTACAGGGCTGTTTTACAGTCACTTGATACACAATACTACCACTATACATTACACATGAATGCTGACTGAATATTATTACGCCAGTATATTAGCTTAGGGACATTCCCAAATGCTTTCATATAAATCACAATTCCATCCTATTACTAACCTCAACAATACTATTACATATATTTCACCTAAGTTAAGGTTACATATTTTAAGGTGAAATGCCATCAAATCTCAATACATGGAAATGGAAACTGGAACTGGAAACTGAGGCTTACGTATACATATACAAACAATTCATTGACCTATTCTCACTAAGACATAGCATAAAATCATAATACTCACACCAGTTGAATATACAGGAAAAACAGCCAACCTGACACACACATACACTGTCCAACTGGTTGCCAACTGACAACTTTCAAATCAGTCCTTATATACCACCCAAGTTGCTTGATTGACCCCAAGCTTACTACCCAGATACATACAATGGTCTCTCAAACTGCACACCTCCAACACAAACAGTCGCTCACCGCTTACATCACTGCTCTTGCTCGCAAGTCCTCACCCCAAACCTGTCCCACCTCCAATATATGATAAAAACAGACATTACACTACTTGTGATCCTGACACATACTTATCGTCTGTTGTGTAGGTGTACCAAAACTTGGTGATGAATGATATTTCGACCACAGAGCATTGTGAGTGTATTTATATATCACGAGCACAAGCTTGGCAATATTACCCGTTAATATCAAATAGTCTTTGACCGAATTCGATGCTTGTAGTGACTTTAACCAAGAAATGTGTATTGAAAAGATTTCGGAAAGCATACCTGCCAATTATCACGCATTTGGCTTTAGACGCACGCTTTTCTTACTCATGTGATGCTCTCACAACAAACTGATCAAATCTCACTCCAGACTGGGTTCATGTGAAAAAGTAAAATACATATCTGTTAAAAATAATACAAATAGGCCTGATTACATCGTTTTCTGTGAATTTTCTGAGAATGGTCAATTATGCGTTGGCTTGGTCGCAGTCCAAATTAAGTTTTTTTTTTATCTATTAGGCTTGAAAACTCTGAGAAAGTACCAAATACGAACCATGCACGATAACTATTTTTATTATGTAATCAAGTTATATCCAGTTTTCCAAAGCAATCATAAAACGGACTTGGCATAGACTGAAGCTATATTAAGCATGAAACTAAATGTCAGAATTTGTTCACTTGTGGGCTTATAACTTCTATTTTCACTGTCTTATATTTTCATTACAACCGAATATACGAATGTACCATCTCTATCTGCTCATACTTATCACATTCCGCTCTCGCAGGATAAATGCTACGGCGGAATAGTCATGAGATTGTCGTTGATAGACAGTGTTTTGGTGCCATTAGTCACCTATACTCTATTCAATAGCGGAACAATCCTATCAAGCATATGATGATGATACTGGGAACGACCATCCAGATTTGCAGTTTCTCAATCTGCTGATACCAGTTGCACATTTCTCTGGCCTTGACTTTGACAGAGGAACCACAGGTATGTCATCATCTATTATACGTTGCATATAATTCAGTACATTAATTCAGTTAGTTATGTGCGTGTATGTTTAACCGACATAAGGAACAAATCAGAATATGTATATCCAACCTCCAAGTATATTTACGTATGCATTATCTAATACGGAACTGTTTCAAACGCGATTTTGAACCAGGTCATGAAAAACAGTGAATGAATGACTTTACTTTTACGTCGGTTTTAGCAATATCTCAGCAGGAATTGACAACGTTGAGGGACTTGGCCAACACAGATGGTTCCGACAGAAAGCTTCTGTTCTATGGAGTAATATGGTGGCTGATTAGGGCCATCACTTTCTCGCTTTCTCGCTTTCTCGCTCTATCGCTTTCTCGCTTTCTCGCTTTCTCGCTCTATCGCTTTCTCGCTTTCTCGCTCTATCGCTTTCTCGCCTTGATATATCGCTTTCTCGCTCTATCGCTTTCTCGCTTTCTCGCTCTATCGCTTTCTCGCTATATCGCTTTTCTCGCTCTTCGCCTTGGTATATCGCTTTCTCGCTTTCTTGCTCTATCGCTTTCTCGCTTTATCGCTTGCTCGCGTAATGGTATCGCTTTCTCGTCTCGTGCTATCGCTTTCTCGTCTCGTGTTATCGCTTTCTCGTCTCGCGTTATCGCTTTCTCGTCTCGCGCTATCGCTTTCTCGTCTCGTGTTATCGCTTTCTCGTCTCGTGCTATCGCTTTCTCGTCTCGTGTTATCGCTTTCTCGTCTCGTGATATCGCTTTCTCGCTTTCTCGCCTCCGAATTTTAAGGCGAGAAAGCGATGGCCCTAATCAGCCACCATAGAGTAACGAGAACGGCTCCATCACAGTACCAGCAGCAGGAGTGTACCTGTCTTGAGACCGCCTCCGTGGTGTAGTGGTTAGAGCGTCAGCCCGGAGAGCGGAAGGTCGCGGTTTCGATCCCCGACCGCGTCATACCAACAAGTAAATATGGTACCTGTTGGTCCCTGCCTGGCGCTCGGCATTTAATGGGTACAACAAGGACTGGTCTGCTCGGAGTCAGTATAATGTGTCTGAGTGGGGTATTCATGCTTCACTGCGGCATGGTATCTCAGTGGGCTAGCACTATAAAACCAGCTTAAGTCTGGGCTAGTACAAGCAGCCGCACATACACATACACATACACACGCATGCACGTCGTCATGTGAGCGAAATATTCTCAAGCACGACGTAAAACCCAATTTCACCTCACCTCACCTGTCATGATGTCTACAATGTTAAGATCTCACGCTGAGCAGGTCTATCTTGATGTCCGTGTATTTCAGAGCCAGCCGGTCTTCTCACAGCAATGAGGAATTGCTGAACCTGACCAAACCAAATGGCTTTGAAATATACTGAACCACAAAAGAAATGTCGCACTGATAGAGGGTTTCTTAAAGCACACACTTTAATTCACTCTAATTAACAATCAAAACGGAGGACTGAGTTCAAACGTGACAAGTATGGTTAACACATTTTCGGGAAACACATTTAGAGTTCACACAAACAAAATCACCAAAAATTGTACCAGTAAGATACCCCAAAGTCGTGTGTGGCCTCTATAGGCATCGATCAAATCGTTGCATCGTCTGTACATGGAATGAATTAGCCGGTCGATGAAGGTCATACGCACTTGGGTCCATACTCTGCGAAAAGCCTTATCGAGTCAAGCCGTAGTTGTCGGCCATTCAATCTTCTTTGAATCTCGTCCCAAAGATGTTCTACTGGACTTAAATTCGGACTGAGTGCAAGATTTTGTAGGGTTTGGATGCCATGCTATTTTAGGAAGTCTAATGTTGCTCTGGCAGTGTGGGCACGACTGTTGTCTTGCTGGAAGATGTGATTTCTGTAACGGCCAAAATGTGGTACAACGTGGGGGTCTTATGACTTGGTCAATGTAGCGAGCAGCTATCATGTCATTCTGGACCACGATTCTGGAACACCACGGTGTCAACTAACTGGTTCAGACCGATTGCACCCCACACTATGATGCATGGACCACGCCGAGAGTCTCTTTCAACAATACACTCATTGGAAAACATTCACCACACCCTCGCCATCGACTGTCGAAACACAATATCGGCTTTCATGAGATAACAGCAGAGTTCTCCATTGTCCAAATCGCCAATTTCGATGCTGAGTTGCCCATTTTGGTCCGTTTGGGCGGCGATGAGCGGTGAGGACAGGACTACGATATGATCCCTGACAGTTTCTTCCGCGCAAACGCCCACGCACTGTATCGGCACTGATGGGTTATGAGTCCCAATGGTCTGCCGTGCTGTTTCCCTCGCTTTGGGGAAGCGATCCTGCAGATGGTTGCGCACAATCTGTCAGTCTTGTCGTTGTGATGTTACTGAAGGTTGCCCACTGCGTGGACGGTATTGAATGCTGTTAGTGACCTGATACCACCCCTGCTGTCCTAACATGAACATTAAAATGATTGGCTACCCTCCGTGCAGTCTTGACAACTTGCAACGACTTGGTTCCTCTGATCTCTTGTAAGACGTGGCATGGCAGTTGTGTCAAAACAAAAATGATTTCAGGCGAGTTTGGGACCCGCTTTCATTGGTAGACGTGTCACGACATGCACGTGCATTTTCATTTTTACGAATGTCATTCAGAACCTTTTACCATGTCTGCCTTTTTCGGTGCGTTTGGTCGATATGCTTTTTCATCAGAAAACATACTGATGTTGGTAATAACTGTCAATTTGGATTGAAAAACACAGCTTAAGAAAACGGCACAATCATAATAAACACACCACCTTGCAAGAACAAAATTTTGCATGTGGTTTTGAAAAGCGACGTTTCTTTTGTGGTTCAGTATATATACATATATGTTCACAAATTTAGAACATGTATAATTTACATATTCCAGGTAAGAATATGACCATACTTCGAAACTGGGCCAACCCTGATGGTTCTGACAGAAAGCTCCTGTACAATGGAATGAGTTACGAGAACGGCTCCATCACAGTACCAGCAGCAGGAGTGTACCACATCACAAGTCACGTCAAGTTCTACATCGAGGACAACAGGAAGGATGACAAGTCACTCCAGACATTCCGGCACCAGGTTGTCCGCTACAGCGCCTCCAGCATGACACAGGTCGTGTTGTTTGAGAATGCCGTGACTGAGTGTAAAGAGGGTATCAACGACGGAGCTGACCTGGAGTACCCGAGTGATGCTGGTGGACTGGCTCAGTTGGATGCTGGAGATCAGGTGATGGTGAAAGTATCACACTTACAGCCGCTGAAGCATGATCGTGACTGGCACTATTTTAATGTGAATATATTATAGATCATTATATTTGTAATGTCATCATAGTCAAGTTTCTTAGTTACTGTGATCGATATCTTGTTTTGAACAACGCGTCATAGCTTTCTTTTAACACGTATTTCTTGTTAGGAACTACATCATAGAACTACAGTACAACCAGAAATTATTGAGAACTTAAAGATTGTAAATTCTTTTATATTTTTCACTCATTACTCACGTATTAAATGTGAATATTAGCAGAACATAACTCCAGATTCAAAGACAGGTGAACAGTTAGTATTTTGTCAAGTCACCATGGGCACCATGCAGGCTTCAATGCGGCAGGGCACACCACACAAAATGACCAAATTTACTAACGTCAGGAAATACTCGTTTCATCCGGCGGCCATATGAATAACGTTTGAAATCTACGTATCATCTGGCCGTCAGATTTACACACGTTTAAAGGGGTGTTAAAATAAACCAACATTCAACTCTGCATTTACATGTATTTCACAGGTGTGTAAATCTGGCCATTGTTTTCATGTGTTTCCTAACATGTGTAACATATGTAAATGCTGTGATTGTAGGACATGCATTTCAATACCCTTGAAATCTCTTATGATCAGAGTTAGGTTTGTCATATATTTAGTACATGCGTAAATGGTTGGAAATGGTTAAGTATAGTGTTACATGATTAGCACTACTTTAACATGTATTTCAATGGTTCTGTAATGTAACTGTCACATAGGGTTCGTTAGTGCGTCCGACCACGCCGTAATGTACTGAGATAATTAGAAACACATGGTGAAGTGATGCCTATGACTGAGCACCACTAATAACGTGCATGTCTTTCTTGACATACCCATGTGTCTGTTTAAAAGGTTCAAATATCGGGTCTATGGGCCAGAGCGATATGTATGTTAGGGAGTGTGTGTGTGCGTGCGTGCGTGCGTGCGTGCGTGCGAGGGAGAGGGTGTGGCATGGGGTAGGCCTAGGGTGGGGTGGCGGCGGTGGGTCGGTGTTGGGGTACTGATAAGTCTTTCTGACCAGTAGGTAATATCGTTTATACTTTTTGTAATGGAAATTAAATAACAGTTTATATAGCTGACCTAAGGTACTTTTCTTATATATGCTATACAAGGAGACACTGCTAATTACAATAAAACACAGACAGATGTGTTCACACAGACATGAACCGGTAGGTCCCTAATTTTAGTGCTCACTTGTATGAGTTATCCGACTGATCATAACTGAACACATTTCCTTATCTATACTTTCATAAAAGATGATTACAATGTATTAATGATTCCCGGTTTCACATGCAACGTAAAACACAACTTTGCAGATTCTGATACCTTTCGGTATGGACTTACCGAAACAAATCATCAAAAATGCAAATTCAACTTATAAAGTTGAAAAATAACGCGATGAAAAAAACCGTGCGAAATCGGAGTTCAAACGATTCACTAATTTTCCCCCGACTTTTCCGGGGAAAACTGGTTTCAACAGCTGGGCTGCGCTCATAGCACGTGCGCAGTGAAATAGGTTCGCGCAACTTGGAAGCGGGCTGTCCGGTGAATACTCGGTGAAGGCTTTGGTGTGAGCTATTTTCCTAATGTTTTCATGATATCTCACAGGCGCGAGATTTTTATATGTTATGACAGTAAATAAACTGTTTATATAATTTCATTTGTTTAATTCACCACACGTTTTTCTTACCGAGTCACTTTCTCAGTTCGATACTTAAAAGCAATGTCATTATTTAGCGTTGACAGAATTTCTAACTGTGATATAGATATGTCGTTGTCACAGACAAAACTCAATGTCTTGTTTTATTGGTTTATGCCCGGACTGTCGACAACAAGAAATAATCCGTCCAAAATACTTGTCGACAGTCCGGGAAAAGGGAGGTGATGTTCTACATGAGTGACTTCACTCCCAGTGTTCTCGAATTAACAAACTAATTAAAACAGAGTGTGATATATATAGTAGACAATATATTTATTCAGTCAATATAACAACATGCATGTATCATGTCACATAATATAGCATATTTGTTCATATATTTCATAAAGCTCACACAATATATTTGTGTGTGTGTTTTATATAAATAAGTAATTTCTGCAGGTGTATAAGTAATAAATATATAAAAGATGAGTCCAGTTATTTCTTCTTGCCAAAACACCTTTAATCTGAATGTTCAGCCAAGATGAAGAGATCTGACACATGGTCTGTGTAATGCAAGTCAGAAAGTCTGTCGGCAAGAAGGTCGGCCTTCAAGGATCGAATCCTTGCGTCGATGATTCGGTAGCGACGTCTACGGACGGGATCTCTCTGCTGTCCTTGGATCTGATGAATTTTTACTTCAGTAGATGACTGTTCTTTTTGTAGCATTCGCACAACCTCAAATACATTGGGATGTGTCTTCATAGCATACTTGTTGATTTTGTTGTGCCAACCTTCCAAATTATTGTTAGTTCTGTGTCCATCATTTTCAAAATGATTCCAAGTTGACAGTGTCCATGGACCTTCTACCCAGTTGGTAGTAACGTAATCCATCAGCTGTGTCGCCTTTTCACCTAGTGGTGCGTCTGCAATGGCATCAAGCCAGACATCTTCAACTTTATCCAGAGGCACTAAAGGTAGAGCTGCAGCTCGACGCACTAGTCTTTTCACATTGTTGTCTGACTTGTACTCTGAAGCAAGGCCTACTTTCTGTGTGCGACCTCTGCTTCTGTTGACTCTGTACTTGAATCCATTGTGGTAAAGATTCTGACCTCTATGAATGTTGTCAACCAATGTAACCCGCACCATAGCATTTGCCATTTTGACAGTGGTAACAAAATATTCATGATCTATTATATATACCCACATGCGAAATGTTTACAACAGCATTTCGATAATCCTTCTACTCCCAATATCACAAAATAATTTGTAAGCTCTCCGTTTCTCATGTTGTTGCATGTTAAACTCCAAAATGGTAATCCTTCCACTCGCATAACGTAAAATAATAATCTGTTTTTGCAACCTTAATTCTCTTGCAAATTGTTAAAACGACATTCTCTTTAATCTACTTAATTCATTTACTCATGATACGAGCATAGCTGTAGCCGCCATGGCCACTTACAACCACTAAGCAAACATTCTCTTTCATTAATTACCACCGTCACGGTATGTTGACCACGCGATGTCGACATTCCGGGTTTTTTGTTTTGTCGACAGTTAGGGACATCCTATTTTTCATTTGTCGACAGATCGGGCTGACACCGTTTTATTGACACCTGTGTGTCTGCCTGCCTGTCTGCTAATGACAATATTCAATACACAACTGCGATCACTGACCACATGCAATTTGAACTTACCACCAATCAGGCTATACACCATAAACAAAACGCATTGATTTATGGCCCGAGTTCGGTCTCTGTCACATTATTAATTACACAGACAGGCAGGTGTGATACTTGAACACATGACATGTTATGATGTCTGTTGATTGCAAAATGTTATACACAAAAAATGAGCATGTATTTACAAAACCCAACATCTCTATATATACACACACAATGAGGGCATCGGCAAATGAACCAGCCGTTACACTTGCGTGCACACCCACCCGCTCTGACTGGGTTCGGTATCCCGGCTGCTTCGTTTATGGGGAAGTAAACCCAAGTACACAATATTCAACTTTTGATTTGCGATTGTACGCTTATAATTTTGTTTATATGTTTTTTCAAAACCAGCAATGTATATTATATGTCATGAATAAGTGATAATTGTGTTTTAATTATGTTTGATTTTTTGGTTGCATGTGACCTTTAACCTAGATTTCGATATCCTCCGAATGTACATTTGATGGAAAATATACATTCAGCACGAGACAAGGACGAATGTTTATATATAATTAAAAAAATGTAACAGCACTAGTATCCATTTTGTCTTTTGTCTTCTTCCCGTCAGAACTAGATTAACAACTAGTCTCTGATATGAATATATTTTACAGAAAAAAGTTCATAGTAAAAAAAATATATAATATAATGAAAAGGAGCCCTGAGACATTCTCCTAAAGCTGTGGAAATCTAGACTTGCCACATGTTGTAGACTTGCGTGGGCTTGGATATATTTGCTTCAGGGTCTGTATGACAGACGACGTCCCAACATACGCTCAGTCACATGTGTCTTCAGGTCATGGAGAATCAGTTGTTAGAGGCCCGCACTGCAATTCTCGTGCGTTTGCCAGGCGCGTAGCAAGCCATTTTTTTCGTGTAAACCCTATGGGCTGCAAAGATTTATATTATAGGTGGTATTGAGGGCTTGCCCAACTTTCATTTTTTATGAGACTTGAAGAGTTATCGTTTGACGTTTGATGATTTCAATAGCTTCAAAATATTGTCGAAATTGAAATGTGAGTTCCTCATATACAAATATGTTTGGACATAGTTTACACATGTCTGCTGCATCGATACAATACCATACATCGAGTATTTGGTGTTTTTTCTAAAATAATTGATAAACAAATGAAACATAAACAATATTGCATTTCAGTGATGATTCACATATAAACATGACTGTAACAAAACATCCTCATACATGTCGATGGAAAAACAATCATCACTGAAAGTTATGATGTCAAGAATAACCTGATTACTGGAGGAGAACTTGCGTCGCTAGTTTTCTCGATAATCTGAACACATGTATGTAGCGTGAAGAAAGTGTTTGCCCTACCTGTAACAACGATGTCCCGTGTCTATAAAAGGGATATAATGTGGGGATGAATGACATGTACTTTTATCTTATCGTTTATGATGATACATACTGCGATCTTTCACAATAATCCCTCTGGCTATCAGATTGAGGGTACGTTTTAAACATAACCGGTATTTCTATTACTGTATTTAATGAACATGCGAGGTCTGCGTCTGTGTCAGACTAAAGGCCCACAAGATGTTTAGTAGCACTGGGGCGTAATAGCCATAGATCTTCTCCAAACAAGGGAATATGTATCTTGTGAGAATGACTTCTCCGACAGGGAAATTTACAGCAATGCGACATCACAATTACTTACGTGATATTTACTCGCAATCTGAGTTATGGATCGTCAATTTAAACAGGACAATATTGACGAATTTCACATAAGGCACAGAGATCCAACATGCCTATGATATACTCAGAGAACG